TTCGGGTCTCAGAAATCCAATTTCCAGCTTTTCCGCAGGATATTTTCAATAAATTAATATGCAGAAAAAATGCGGAACGGTTGTTTTTCTCATCGACGTCTGTTCGAGCCGAATTATGGAATAATAAAACTAAGGAAATACTACGCACGTATATGGACGCTACACTCCTGCATGTTACATTTTTTTTTTTTTCGAAAGGTTTAGAATCACGTTTCCGGGCAAATAATAAACATCCGCTTCAAGTTTGCAATTTTTCAAACTACGAAATGACCAGATAAAAGGCTGTGTAAATATACAATTATTGTGGATGAACCCGACATAAAACTGCTTATTTTTGTGTAGATATCGTAAACAGTACTACGACAAGAGTAAAGGGAAAACCTGGTCACGTTGTTCAAATTGACGTTTGCCTTTAGTAAACGTGTTTCTAAATTGTTCTTTGTTTATTATGCTGTGTAAGTTACAGTCTCAGTCAAAATTGTTGGGACACTTTGCTGTCCAGTGGCGGATACAGGGTAGGGGCCCGGGGGAGCCAGGCTCTCCCCTTATTTTTAAACCAAACTGGGGCCCGAAAGGCCGAAAAAAATTTTTTGACACCATCCCCCCCCGCCCCCTTATGTCAGGGTCTGGATGACCGCTCCCCCCCCCGCTCCCCACCTTATCTGAAGGTCTGGTTCCGCCATTGCCGTCCGTCTTGCCCTCCCAATGTTGGTATACAAGATTTGGCGAGTTAACTGCGATAAACAAAATTGGAAGGACGAGAAGATGGGCCAGAAGTTGAAAAAACAGCGTTGGGTGGAAGTGTCCCAACTATACGCTCTTCTCACTTATGGTAATATGCCCGTCTAACCTCGTTTACGGGTAAAAATTCTTTTGAAATTCAAATACGAAAACGTCGTCTGATAAGCATTTCAAAGGACTTTTTACTCAAAAACGAGGTTAGACGGGCATATTACCATACGTGAGAAGAGCGTATTTTTGCCGGAGACTGTGGCTCTAGTTACGATTCAAAACTCTGACAACGAAAGGTGAAATTACTGCGTCGTTGGGTGCTCTTACTCAATGAAAATGAATGACACAACTCTACTGAGACAGCTAACCATGATATCAACTGACCCATGTCGACACAACTTAAAAACACTATTTCCTTTTCTGGTCGCAAAACTTCATATAAATATTATTATGGACGACAAGAAAATAACGATAATATTATTTTTATTCAAGAATGAACAGTATTTTTAAATTTAAGAATGAAAAACAGGGTTTAAATATTGAAGAATTTCGAGTTTCTGTGACGTCTGTTGTAGGGTTTTGAACAATTTCTTGCATTTCTGTAAAGTCTCCCAAATAACTTTAGGTTTTGCAAAAATGTTTGGCTAAATAAATAATGGCAGTAGAAAAACTTGGCATCATTATTTAACTATTTAAAATAAACTTTTCACATGCAGTTCTTGATGTATTTTAATAAGGTTTTCAGCAGAATGTAAAGAAATTAGGTTTAACAAAAGGAGACAAACGAAGTCAAGATCTTTTATATATCTCTTTTTATCTTGCTTTAAAACGATATTCACTCGTGTTAAAACACGAAAAATGTGGAAAACTGGCTTTATTCAGGTAGCTTAAAAATCAATTGAGTATAAGTAATCGCGCTACCTGATTCGATCGTTTATATAGTCGCCCCCCAAGCGGAAGATTCGAGAGTGCCGCGTCATAAATAATTGAATTTGATATGAATATTGAAAAAAATTAAGGAACATTACTCAAGAATGGCAGGGGAAGTCTATACGCACCAAGGGCCGAGGTACAAGGCAAAAAGGTGCCGAATCCCGGTAAATCAGTCTAGTGGGCAAATTTTGTCGAATAAACTACCAAAGATTAAGAAGAAAGGCTAGCATTCTTCTAGCTGCAGTCAGTCTTGCTTCTTGATTTCATATTTATTCACAATCAAGCCGGCTTAGCTTGGAGAAAAAAATGATACCTTACTGAAAACGGTCAAAATAAATTTCAGGTTACAACGACGATCCATGCATCCACCCGGCCGTTTCCAACGCACGCGTTCTCCTGAAGCCGCTCAATTTTTTTCGTCCAAAAACTATTAAAACTAAATCGCAAAATGCAATATTTGATTTGCTTTCATATGAAGATCAAAACAAGTTATTTCTCCAGATAGTTCTCTTGAATTTTTGGTGACCAAAGACAGCGTTATATTAGCAGTGCGGTAATCTATAAGCGATTCGCAATCTATTAAAGTTCAAAGACTTTTGGAAGTTTCCGAGCCGGTGAACAAAGAGAAATTTCTTTGAACAGCTAGATTTCAACTCTCGAAGTTTACTTATTTAAGTGAAAGGATTTATATGCAAAATTTTCAGCAGTTAAGAGTTTATAGTTGTATATGGGCTTGTACCTCACGCAGAATGTGTAGGACGCTAAACTGAATTGAGAGTCTTAATTGTTTCGTTTCGAAGAAACAGGAGATCAAAGTTTCTGAGAAATCTGACACACTCCAAGGGCGTATAATTCTATAAAAGAGATCTTTTCGCTTTTCAACAAATTGACCTGTTTTATATTCGGCCTTTTCCCAAAGAATCTATTGCACCAAGTCGTAGCCGTTTAAAAAATACTATAAGACCCCAAACTACCAACAAAAGCATGCTAACGATCACAAGAAATTATAATTTCACTGGTCATCAGAGATGAGATAGTTTGTAACAGTTTGTAAACTAAACTGACCTGCAACTGAAGACAAAAGTTGGGTAAAAATAAGAAAATAAAAGCCAGTTGCCAAGTTCCTTCTCCAAGCCATCATCACACCGAAGGAGCAAACAAAAATGTTTTAACGTCACTCTTCGTGGTTGTTGGTAGGAGGCATTAGCCAGATTTCCTGTTTGACCGGTTTGCAGTATTCTTCGAATCGAGGCCATTTTCTCGGAAATTGTGAATAGCGCATTGTGCCGTGACGAACCACAGTGACGCAGGACCGGAATAGGAAGCTTATTAACCAACGATGGCGGCGTCCGCAACGAGAACGGCAACACTGGCAAAACAACATTTTTGCACGGGCGTCACGCTTTTTTGTACTTTTCTTTGCTGTCACTGCACAACTACGGCGTGAAATTTTTCTAACTTCACGTTTTATGGAGGACAGGAACACATGACAACTATTTTCTTTTTCTTTTGTAAAGTTAGATGCAGTCCTTTAGAATTCAACACCTGAAAATATCGCCAACATTTGACAAATTAAAAGAGTCGCAATAAGAGCGATGAACTTTAAAGCAGCGCGAATTCAGTTTTCGGGTGACGTTTTAGCTGCCGTTGCCATCATCGTTGCTTAAGCTCCCTAATGAAGGGCGAAGGGGGAGGGGGGTGGGGAGTGGAAAGAGGGCAAAACAAGCCCAGGGCCCAGTTGTTCGAAGGCCGATTGGCACTAACCCAGGGTTAAATTTTAACCCGGGTTTCTTTTTCTTTTGATCAAAAGCATTTTCTCAGGTAATTTTATCTATTCTTATTACATTTAAGACCGTTTATTACATTTAGGCCTTCTACATAGCCAATCATCAAATTGTTGACAAAAAGAATTAAATTGAATTTGCTTTTTAAGCTTTCATATCTGAATTCAAATTTCGAACTAACCGTGGGTTATCTTAACCCAGCTTTGAACAACTCGGCCCAGTTGAAGAACCCATAAAGATTTGTGGGTGCGTTCCATGATCCAATCAGATCCAATCAGATTACGCGGATCATAGTAGATCAAATTAACCGATGAATCCACTGTGGACAAGGATTCATCAGTTCATTTGATCTACTTATCCGAGTGATATCGGATCACTGATCCTGATCTGGATGATCTCAAAGAAACGCACCTATATATTTGAGAATCTCAACAGAGTGTTTTCACTTACGTGGCCAGCGTCTACGCAAATTGATTGGAACAAAAGAAAGCGTTTGCATAAGAAAAGAGTTCAACTCCCACAGGATTGGTTCGGGACACCATATATGGCCCAGGTTTTATTGTTTTGGGACACCAATATGGCCGCCGTGACGTCATGTGAAAACATCGGCTCTATTGGTCGCTCTATTGACGAACGCGAAAACAATAGAGTTAATCCCAGTCCCTTCTGGTTCGTTCTTTCAACCATGATCATGTCCTGAGAAAATAAAAGCGTGGACGCTACGAGTCTGGAACAAAATTATTCAACATTCCATTATTCAACATATTTCTTTACTATACCTATCATCCTATCTCAAAAGCTTGATCTCCATCCGTATAAAACTATTCTTTTTAGGATGTTTTCCTCTAATGGGGTAAAGGGTAAGGCGGCGTCTTTTTTCTCAGTGAATCAAGTTTGCGTCTTCAGAAACAAAAGAAAAAAGAAATAAAATATTCTAATGCGAACTGACTTGAGGTTAAAATAAAGTGGAGAACCGTACTGAGCCAAGAATACACACTACATTGCAATCAAAAACGCCGATTTATTCATACTAATTACGATCGCACCTCTATCAGCTGAAACATGTGGTGGCCCGTTTAGGCTCCGTTTACACTGAAATAGCTAGATAGGTACAAATGAGTCAAAATGAGTCATGAGTTAAGTCAAAAAAAGGTTAGAATCTTTCAAATTCGTTGTCAATTACTACTTTGATCAAAATACATGGTGCATACAATGGCAAACCTAAACCTAAAAATATGCAAAACATATCGAGTTCCATTAATGTTTAACTCTTATCACTATATAACTGTTAGTTCTTAATCCTAATTACTATAGTCGGTGCTTAATTCCTATTTTCAGTGTTCAACCCTGACCTGACTCATTTTAAGCGTGGTCTACAGTCGATTTCATTCGTAGGCTGGCTAACAAAATCTCATAATCAACTGTTTTTGAACCATTACGACATAACGTAAATTCCATGAAAACATGTAAGGCTGGTCTTCACTTGGGACCAGTCATGGGGGAGAAAATCCATTATCTACGAGACAAGCTAAGGCAAAAAGAGTACTCAAAACAACAAACTTGATAATAGCAAAACTTCATACTGTTATTTCAAACGATATATGGTTGATTTTACGGTTAATTCATCACACTAAAAAGGCCTAAATAAGTTTGGCTGCGTATAATGAGGGCTCAAGGCTGCATTGGGAGACACTATTCTAAGAACTTAGGAGCTACTTGGGGCTCATTCCTCCTCGACCAATGGTCGCATGGGAACCCGAGTGTTGGCATTCGTTGTCATGACAGCGGAAGTACCAACACCAGGCGCGATGATGATAGGACCTTGATTGGCGGAGCGACGCCTCCTACAGCAGCAGTAGCAACAGCAGCCACAGCAGACGGCGATGAGAAAAACAACCGTTCCAGCGATCACTGCTATTTTGGCAGGAACACTTAGGTCAATAAACCATCCAAAGAATCCTAAAAACAACAAATTTTGGTCATTTCTTTTCAAGCTGACACCTTTCTTACACGTATTGCACTGTGGAAATGAACAGTTATTCCCCAGTAAATCGAACCAGCCCTACGTAACTCCGATATCTTCAGTGATCAAAAATGAATGAAACGACATTTCACAGTAAAGAACCAGCCCCGTTATATTTTTCTGTACACCTGGCACATGTTTATATCGGAGTTACTCTTTATTTTACTCCTTTGTCTGTGTTACTGTGGTTACCAACATCGCAAGGTAATGAGGTGGACACGCTGATTTAGCCTGAGTAGCAGGCACTTGGAATTATTTGGGCGCAAGAAACAACGAGCGTGCGAGAGTGAGACACGAGTGTCTACCTCGCGCGGCCCGTTCTTTCTTGCGCCCACTACTTCCAAGCACCTGCTACGCAGGCTAACACTGATTCAGTTCGATGTATACACGTATGGCAGGCACCTAATATAATCCCGCGGATGTCCCTCTCGTATTAAGGTCTTAATTTGGTCCCGCGGGTGTCCCGCTCTAAGTAAAGCGCTTATATTTAGTGTCAGACACCGCCTTATCGTACAGATGGTACAGATTATTACTCGTGACAAGAACTGCTTTTAATTAGATATAGTACGCCATGTTGATCAAGATCAGTTTTACTTGCCACAATCGTCAGTTGAGATCGGCAAGTCTCCATCCACAACAGTGACTGGGGGGAGATAAACACCCAGTGCTCCGACCAGCAGATTCACCTGGTAAAAGATAAAACAGTCACCTTCAACTGATTCCATTCAATTGAGTGATGGTTCATTCAAATCTTACAAAAGTAGTTTGAAAGCTGCAACTAGAAAAACCTTTTCATATCAAAAATATGATCAGTATGAAGAAGTAAAAAACATTTAGTCATCCTGGTTGCCCAGCGCAATTTTTTTATAAAAATGTAGAAAACCATTTACACAGTAACCAGTTGTTTCGTTTTCATTTTCGAGGATTCGTTTCTGTATGTGGGTTTTGATGTTGATTTTTATGTCTTAAGCTAGTTGATGTACCAAGTTAGAACAAGCCTAGCCTGCGAAAACATCCTTTTCTCCTCGCTCTTCGCCGCTGGGGAAGTTTCGCGCGGAAAGAAGAGCGAGGAGAAATGGATGTTTTCGCAGGCCAGAACAAGCCTGAAACCATACAACAGAAAACCTTTCATTACGTGACCTGCTCTCGCATCACGGTGAGGGTAAAAGGCGGAATGAGTTTGCGGAATGGCATGTGGCATGGCTTGCGGAATGAAATAATTATGCGGAATGCAATATATGGAAATGGAACACAGGAATAAATTAAGCAGAAAAGCATACGTGCGTCTCTGCCGCGCCTTATTTTGGCACAAATTTGAAGGAGCAACCGCTCTGCCGGTCCGTTTATTATTTCTGGCTCAAACCAAGATGCTAGAGCAGCGCGTTGGAGTTCACGAGGATTATGGAGGAAATCACTTCTAGTAGTGGTAGGCTTTATGAGGCTGCTAGGAAATGGTAGACTCGGTCGTAGGAAAGGAAATTTAGTTTGAGTCAGTGGGGAATTCGAATATCCGAGTTCGAGTTAACGGTCGAGTAAAAAATGAATGAAAAGTGGGATGAAATCCAGGGGAAATTGGACTTAGTTCGAGTGAGCGGAGGGGGGGTGCGAGTTATCCGAGTTCGAGATATAGGGGTTCTGCTCTACAAGTGAAGGTAAAAAACCTGTGGAGTTAATCGTGCAAACAACTTTTGCAGAAAAATTAAAGCAGAAGGGAGCGTGACCTTCCAAAACTATTTTCTTCAATGGTCGACTTTAGTGATGTAGTATCGGTAATGCCATGCAGCCCGCCTCAATAAATCTCATCTTTGTGGCTGTGCGAAAAAGGCTAATCGAGAGTGAGAAATCAAGGAATCCTTCGTGGCTTTTTGATTGTCATCGTAGTCAAGCCCGCATAATTAAAAAAGTCGCTGCTTTTGCAAATTGATTGGCGCCAAAAAAGGGTTCACTTTTCAGTTTAATTTATTTCTTTTAGTCATTCAGCATATATTACATTCCGCATGATTACAACTGTATGTCACTCCGCAAGGCATGCCACATGTCATTCCCCAAACTCATTCCTCCTTTTACCCTCACCAGTCACATAGACCTCCGCCAATTGGCTGATTAGTTAACTTATCGTGACGTAAGGGAGCTTTCATTTATTGCGCTGGGAAAAGCCCTGTGGGAAATGGCTTGTGTGAATGGGCGGACTGGAAAGTATGGATTGGAAATTGAAACGGATTTTGACGACCACCCTCAACCACCTCCCCCCCTTCCCCCTCCCCCCGTTCCTTCCAGGTGATTATAAATGAAAGCCTTTAGAACACACCTTTAAATGCAGTGTATCTCCGTTATTGGTGAGGTCTACTTCAACGTACACACCACCAGCAGGAACACTAAATCCGGGCACTGGAATTTTGTCATCACCACTGTAGGTATGTGACCACGTGATATCCAGATCCGGGACATTCATGGAAGCCGTTACAGTAACAGGGTCATCACATTTGTTGATCTAGCGAGTAAGAGAATATATATTTTCATCAATCAAGCCTATTTATACACGATAGCTATTCACCTTTTCGCTGCTTCACGAGAAATGGTCACACTTCAGAATTTCATCCACAGTATCTCAAAAGTTAGAACCACCTTGTACAGTATAATAAACAGTACCACAGGAAAGAACTACCCAGTGCCTTTTGCATGGTTACGCAATAGGATTCCATCCACAGACTCAAAAGTTAGATACACCTTGTACAGCATACTAACGGAAAGAACTGCTCAGTAGCTTTCATTTGAATGGTCACACTTAAGGATTTCATCCACAGATACAAGAGTTAGAGCCACCTTGTACAGCATAATAAACAGTAGCACAGGAAAGTACTGCTCAGTAGCTTTCATTTGACTAAAGTTATAACTTATAACAACATTGTCTCATTATAATTGAATTCATTGCTTGTCATAAGCTTTTCAGTTCGCAATCTTCATTGGGAGAGTTTCGACAGTAATGGTTCTGGGCTCCTGATTGGACAGTTAAAGGCTATACCTTGGAACTTAGGTTAGTTTCAGAGCTAGCCTAAAATTTGCGAACAGTTCGACATTTTTTGTCGATTGAAGAAGTTTTTCCTCCCTACCTATTACCCAGAAAAAAGGACTTAAGAAATTCTCTGCCAGCCTCCTCACAGTCACCCTACTATTGCTGGTTTGCACGTGATTCAAGGCGGCCATGTTGGATGAAAAGAACAAAAAAGCACTTCTTTCCTCTGGGAAATTAACTCTTTTTTCGTGTGAATTCTTCATGCAAAAATTCTACGGTATTGTCATCCAACATGGCCGCCTTGTCACGTGGTTTCAACCAAGACAAGCTAAAGCAATATGTAGATTTAGCCAAGGCTAACAGCGAAGTTCTCGTTTAGACTCGTTTATACACTCAAACAAAAAATAAACTTGAAGCCGCTGCGAAAAAATCTTTTAAATCTGTGTTTATTAATAGTAGTTCGATCACAAACATGCATGGAAACTGAGCCATTCTAGCATAAAATGTCAAGCGTGTAAAATGTTATCGCGTTCAGAAACAAAAGAAAGCACACTGCATGTAGAACTGTATTTATCAAAAATCGAAAGGCCTCATTAGCAAAAAAAAAAACAACTTTGCACGTGCATCACGTTTTATTGTTTATTTCTTTGTCGTTGTTGTTGTTGCACGACTACAATGTGAAACTTGACAAACTTCCTAATTAATACACGTTTTATGGATGAAATGTTGTTTGTGCTCAGAACCTTATTTTCATAGCTATTAAGACGCGCAATAGGCAAGTTAAATTTCCTCTTTGCATCCGTTAGGTCATACTGACTATTGCCTTTGTCAGTTTGGCACAGTTATAAACTAATGACTTTACAGACTTTACAACATGGTGTATTCTTTTTGTTTGTAGTTGTGACATACCCGGAGTTCCACACGATGACCTCGAGTTCAAGAGTACACAAAATGGCGGCCGTCGGGCAAGAATTTTGCAAGTTTTTCCTTTACCAGTAGAAGAGGTGGAGCAAGAACGACGGTCATTTTCAGGTATTTTGATTCTCCTTACCGTATATTTTTAGTCAGTCGTCGGTTTTTGCTGTACTCGAGAAAAAAAATGTTATCGTCGTGATCTTCAATTATTTATCCCTCGATTCTTCAACTACTTTTGATCTGCTGTCTAATTCCGCCTCTGGCCGCCATTTTATATTGTTTGTGTTTCTAGTCAGTGAGAGGACTGAACCACATTATTTCCAGTCAGCTGGAATGCAATGAAAATAAAGAGAGAGTCGCATTGCGGCTACAGGCTTGTTTCGGCCTGCACCGCGCTCAATTACACGTTTACTTGTTTCTTTGTTTTATTTTTAAACACACTTACAAGACGATAAAACATGCGTCTAAGACGCGTAATAAACAATGGGCCTCTGAATATTTCACTGCATTAAAAAAACTTTCGTGCCCCGATTGCCACACACTTCCCATTCGCGGTTTAAATAACCCGCCGCACGCGTACGCGTGTGAGGGAGGAAATACACGCACGTCTTCTCCTTCCTCGCGGGCACCACGTGCATTCTTATGTGCGCGCCATAATTCTTATGCACCTACCACAAAGGGAAGGACGACGTTGGATAAAAACTCGTACCCTTCGGGTAACCAATGCTTTACCATCTGAGATAGCAAGGTAGCGAACAAGTTAACGAAACTTTGTGGAGGCCGCTTGGTATATTTAAATTTCCTCAGGCGTGGGAAATTGCAGTTTCTACCTGTAGCTTATTTTACTACTATAGACCCTGGATAGCGGGGAGGCGCGTGATGAAAATATATGACCCTACATTGATATAACTTGCGCTGCAGTAAGCACCAAATACGATAATGCTGTTTTTATACAAGCGGAAACAATAAGAGGATAACAGCACAGATCACACAGCAGAATTACAGTTTCGTTCGTGTCAATAAGTTTAATTGAATATTATTTACAGCAACAAATATACCAAAAATCGATTGCAGTTCACAAAGATTAGAATTTGTACAAATCTTACACCGCAACAAGTATGTGCAGAGTAATATTGTCGCCCACGGAGTTACTTCAGATTGATTCGAAGGACTGTCTACATTCAGTACGCGTTCAATGCTAATTACTTAAACTTTTTCGTGTCAAAAAATAATGAAATGTTATTTACAGTAGTGACCAGATTGTACTATTGTAATACGCTGTTACCAAAAGCTTGAAATCATTGAAACGTTTATGTACGCTGTAGTTTAGTCGCTTATAGACTTGCGTCAGATTCAAGGCTTGTTCAACGAAGGGACTGTCGACATTTTGTACGAGTTTAAAGACAACTGGACTTCTATTCTTCATCCCAGGCAATGGCGATTCCAAAGAGAGATGCGTCCCGCTAGGAATTGTACTTTCCGATTACAATCCACGAAGTGGCAGTTCCGGCCCAGCACTCCATACAGGAAAAAATACCCCTGGGATAACTGGAGGGTGTGGTCAGACTAAGAACGTAACAGAACCACTGTTACAATTCCGTGGCGATCCCCGCAAACCATGGATTAAGAGGGAGGTTTTCATCGAAGGGTGCCAGACCGTGGCTGGACCAATGTACTCTTTAGGAATTATAGGAGCTCCCGCTAAAACCATCTGCAGAGAAATAAAGCTAAAATTAGGATCACCCCAAGTGACATTATAGTGCAGCGCGAAACACTAATTACGTACTCATGACCTTTAAGTATACTGCTCCCTCAATACGATGCGGTTTAGTTTTGCAATTATTTGAAGTACTCATGCAATATGTCATAAAAAATCCATTCATTGACCGTTGCAGTTAACACGGGAAAATGTCTCCTTGGAAAATGTTACACAACATACCAAGGTGCATCGCAAGGAATCTTTTATCTAAGACCTCGATCCTGACCTTTTTTTTAACAATATACGGTTTTTTGTTTGTTTATTTATTATGGTTGGTTAGGTTTAATACATAAAATGAAAATGGTTATAACGCGGAAACATGTAAACTGGGGCTCGCTAGTGTCTCATTGGTACTCGATCGCCAAATTAACTCCATAAATTTCTTAGAGTGGTAACAAAAGCAGAAAAAAAAAAAAGGAAACTCGAGTGAGTGCGTGTGGTTATAGCAGCCGATTACCCGCGAGTAATTTTCGGTTCTACTCTTTCACTAAACAACTGTTGCTGGGGAGAATAGGAAGATACTAGTTATGTAATGACTTATAATCTAACCGTGATATTGAAGCATGTTTATCAGCTCCCGCCAGGAATTGTTTGACGAATGGCTACCATTAAGGCACCGAATTTCATTCAAATAAAGAATTACCCACAGTCCTGTGCTTCAGTTGCACTCGTCTCATGGTAAACTTGCCCGCACGTCGAGCGAGCTAAAAATTTTTCTTGAGCACGAAGCGGAAGCGGGAATTTTTTTTTGTTTTCTAGGAGAAGCGAAGGACATTGACAAAGTCTAGTCTTTCGAGTGTTCAAAAAAGTTGTTTTTCCTCCCAGGAGGCTCAGAAAAAAGTACAATTGTACTGGTAAATGCTATTAAAACGATTGAATTTAAATACCGTATTTACTCAAATAAGCACCGCCGCCCTGATACAATCAAAATCAAAATATGTTAATTCTGTAACAAATTAATATGGAAAAATAATAATGCCATAGTTAAAATAATGCTTTGTCGAGTCCAACTTTCAAATAAACGCCGCCATCGAATAAGCGCCGCATTTGAGGCGTGGAAATTTTTACAAGCTCTGCTCTGGTAAACATTATAAATGACATTCAGCGTACCTTCAGTCATCCACTGTCCTTTATCCTAATCTCTTTTGCTTCTCTTTCGACGAGGTTCTTCGTCACCTTGATATGAAAAATAAACAAACGAAACATTTAATTTCAGGATTCAGTTCATCACTTTTTAAGACCTGTTACAAACAGATGTTATAAAACCAGGCACAGATGCTCAATCAATCAAATTGAATTTTAAATTAAAACAAAATACCGTATGTTTGCTTTGATACCGAGTTTCACGGTACAAAGTAAGGTTTCGTGCTGTTTATATTGTTGTGAAGTATTTTCTAGGTTGTTCAGTATGAACTATTGATTTACATGACACTGAGTTTTAGCCTACCTTCAGTCACCCGATGCGATTTATGCTGCTTTCTTTTCTTTCTCTTCCGTGGAGATTCTTCGTCACCTAAATGTACAAAAGAACAACCGAAAAGTTTTCATTTAATGTACATAACTTCTTGAGACTTGCTCATAGGAGGCTACTATGATAAAGACACAGACTTCCACTCCATCAAAGGCTCTTAGGCCTGTGCTGCAGCCACGCATGTTTGTCTTTCTCAGCGATTTTTAAACAAATCTGTTTTAGCTGCTTGATCATGTTGATATCGGATTTCATGGAACAAAATAAGCTGTTATCGTACAACTTGGAAAGTAATGGGAGAGGTTGAGCAGATCAAAGAGGTCTTTCCTTTCGGGTGGTGGTTACTTTCGGATATTTAAAAAGTGTTGGGGTTATTTGTAATCTAGCAATCGTTTACAAGAAGAGATGATTTCAAGGTAAACTAGCAACGGCGAAACGCGTTTAGCGTCTTCACGTTTTTTTAATATTTATGCATGAAGTATTTTCATTCCTGAGTTTTTTGGTAGTTTGATCCAGCTGAGGGCAATTTATTCGTAGAATGGCACTAGAAACTAGTTTTTAGTGGGTTCTAGTTGTCAGGAGATTGTATCCGTACTTGTGAAAATAAGCTGCCAAAGTAGGGAATTACGATTTGCAGTTTTAAATAAATATAACATTTAATTCATTCCGTATTCACTGCTTATATAGTTCTACAGCAGTAAGTAAAGGGTTATTGGGATTAATAACGGGTTCGGATAAGCCAACATGTTTGCCACGTAGTTATAAAAGAGGAGGCCATGATTTCCTAGATGCCGTCATCGTTCTACCCAGTGGCTTTGCCGTTTCTCCGGGTCATTTACCCGCCGTCCCTGTGCACGGAAACGGTGTATCTTAGTAAGATCCCCTATATAAGACACATTGCATTCTTCTGTTCTTGAGAGGGTATGTGTGAAAGGGGCGCAATTTTCGGGAGAATCGCTAGTCTCGTGGGACTGTTGCATTCGATGTTTCATGTGAAAGACAGAAAATAATCGTTACTTTCGAGGGGCCATTAGGTTTGGAATTATCGACATACATCATTGGTTTACATGAACTTATGACTTTCACCATACCTTGTTCTGTCACCCGACCCTCTTTACGCTTTTTTCTTGTCTTTCCCTTCCTCGTAGATTCTTCGCCGCCTACATGCATACAAAACAGGACAACCGAAAGAATTTAATTTTGTGTTCATGGCTTTCTAATGCTGTCCAGTGACGTCACTACCCGAAAAACGGGTAATGATTTTGATTGATTGTCCAAACATTCTAAACTACTCTTTTACTATGATAAAGAGAAAGTATTTAAATTTACGTTCACCACTTCAAGACCTGTTAATAAACAGCTATAGCTATAGTGTACTAAATAAAGTCACAGACTTCTACTCAATCAGAAGTTAACTTGTGATGCGGCTACACTTAATTGGCCGCTCTTCGGTCCTTCAACAACTGTTTTTCAGCTGATTAACAGCGGGTTTCTGGCAAGGCACAAAATTATAGAAACGTCTGTTACAAACCATTGATCTAAACCGATTACCGCCATGACTTTCAGCGCACCTTTATCTCTCGGGTGTTCTTTGTGCTTCTTTCGCTTTCTTCTCTTTCGTGAAGTTCCTTCAACGTCTGGTTATTAAAAAAACAACAACAATTGATTTAATTTTGTATCTATCAGTTTATACATAATGGTAAAACAGCTTTTATTATTTGATAAACAGAAACTACGCAGACGCATATCTCTACTCAAGCGCAAGGATGTATGCCTTAGGATTTTACGCTTGTATATTGTTAGGAACTGTATGAACTGAAACTTTATTAGCGTACCTTCAGTCATCCGATGTACTTTACGCTTTTTTCTTTTCTTTCTTTTTCGCGGAGACTCTTCGTCACCTAGATATGTAAAGAAAAACAACCAAGAACTCAGTTTTATTATAAAAAAGACACAGATTTTCACTCATTCGGAAGTTGATAAAAAGGTTCTGCAACTACGCCTGCTGTCCAATCTCACAGGTTTTTAAACGAACTGACCTTCCACTTTCACGTAACAAAGAAATTCGCATTCTGTTATGATGTATGGATTTAAATAAACGTTGCATCATATAGCTCACCCGCTTTGGTCCTTTGCTCTGCTTTCTCCTTTTTTCTTTTCTTTTTCTTTCGCCGAGGTTCGTCAATTTCTAATTATAAAAAAAACAGCGAGGGGTAAGTTCCTTCTAAAGTATTTCCAAATATCAGCGAGTTATCCATCAGCGTATCCAAACACTATAATAAACAACATTGCATAATTTAAACCTAACATGGACACGTAGGGAAAAACGAAATGAGTTTCCGTCTTTGTAATCAAAGGGTGTCACAAAAAATGGGACTTAGTACAGTATAAAGGACAAAATAAGGTCCCTCCTTTCTGTTATAAATAAATTATAATATGGATTTAAATGACCTTTAGCATACCTTCAGTCATCTCCTGCACTTTCCGCTTTTTTCTTGCTTTCTGTTTACTTCCTGGGGATTCTTCTATAACTATAAAATCAATTTTGTATGACTCAGCTTCTAAGAATTGGTTGGGAAACAGACATTATACAAAGGAACACCGTTAATACGGTCAGCAAATGGACATGCTAAAGTGTTCGTATTGTCCGGCTGTCCGGAATGGAAAACCTGGTTTGACATACTGTAAGATAGTATTTACCTTTTATTATTATTATTATTATTATTATTATTAACTTAAAAAGTACATATAAACAGACTAATGAACAAACATAATCGTGAAAGTCCGATTTCTTTCACCTAAATTTCGGAGCGTTGCGTGACGACACTAAAAACGGCTGTGTAGCAGACTAGTCTACAACGCAATTATTACAAATGCAGGAAATCTCACAAGAGAGAACTGACGTCTGACCGAAACGAACTTTTGTACAACTTCTTATTAGTGATCAGGGCTTTAATGCCAATAGGTTTTGTTACATCGGTAACTGGGAAGGCAGAGAACTTGAGGGGGGGAGGGGGGGAGACAGGGGACAATAAACCTTACCAGTAGGATCGGGAGGCGCTGGAAATGTTCCCACGGTGTCTTGAGCGTCAGCGGGGAATGGTGAGTCGTGAACATTGAGGCGAGTCTCTGCCAGAATCTGTACGAATGATAAAAGAAAACAAGAGCTGATGGGCTTGTTTCAGGCTTTCAGATAGTGGAGAGTGGCACTTTCCACTATCTGAACGCCTGGTGCAGGATAGGAGTTGATGAGCCAATAAGATGATTGAGCAAAAGGAACTCTTCTACAAAGACAGAACCTCAGTCCCCGAACCAATCTTCTGTTCACTGGTCAGTTCCAAGCCTCAAGCTCTTTGTTTGCTTAAAATGCGTAACAAGGCTCTAGTCAGTGCAGTGAGAACGCTGACATACTCATGCCATGTTATGTAAAGATGGTGGATGGGCACTGTGATGATGGGTGTGGATATCTGGTGAATACTGAATACTGAACGTGAGGTACACAAAACGCTTCAATCGAGGTCCACGATAGTATGATTATACAAATATTCATTTTACGAATGAAGTCGAACTTGAGAATGCCTTGAAACGGTCGACACGTCGTTTATTTTGGCGTTAATTTAAGGGTAGAAGTCTTATTACTTACCTGGTCCTGGTTGTCTTCTGATTCATATGATGACATTTCTTCAGCTGTTTCTTCTTCAGACTGGATGATTCCTTTCTCATACTGCCAAAAATTACATAGACTTTCTCAAAGTCGTTCGCTTACGATCGCGCTTCGCGCTCACAGTCGCGCTACGCGCTCAAAAGCTCGACTTGTGAGCAAGTCTAAAAATTACATACTTAACATTATACACCTTCCATTTTCTTATCTTTTAGGATCGTTATTTCAGTCTTCATGTACAAAACGAGAGTTTTAGTCCCTGATTCAAGTCAATAAAAATTGAAAATGCGACAGCAACTCTAATCTTCTAATAGTGTCACTATTTTCCAAGATAAAGGAACCAAATAACTGACGCAAGTCCTGTTGATAAAAAAGTGAATCTATATCAAAAATCTTAGATGTTAGGAAGAGTAACGTTTAAAGTCATACCATAAAACTTAAAAAAACATCAACAATACTTCATTAAGAAAATTCAAATTAAATTAAAATTTAAGGCAAGATTTAAATCTGATAAAACATGGCCGAGAAAAGGAAAAAACAAACAAACAAACAAGTAAATAAAAACAAACCCAACCTATCAACTATCAAAAACTCGCAAAAAACACTCGGCTACACATTCGGCTACTCATTGTGTTTTAGAGCCGATAACTCACCCGCTCTTCCTCTTCCTCATCCTCAGATTCAGATAATGAATCGACCTGACAAAAAAACACAACACTCAACATTTCCGAAACGAATTGCAGTCCGTTGCAATATTGTTCGGACAGTAATTTCCACAACTAAAGCTATCGTTGTAAGAGAACCGTCGGTTTCCGTATGACTTAGCTCACTTTTTAAAAGAAGTGAGCTAAGAGTCTAAGACCACAGAAATAACTTGTTATTGTTAGTAAGGCTTATATTCAACTGCACTGTTTTAATTTGACTCGGTTTTTTTGAAATCGCGACTAGAAAAAAACAACACCCTGAAACCACTATGAAACAAAACATATTTCCTGTTCCCTCAGTTTCAGTTTTTAATAAGTGAACCCCTGAAAAATTGAAGAAAAACCATACGTTTTTAAACGCAATGTTTTTTTTTCAGTTTTTTTTTCCCCAAGAAATAACCAAACTCGGGGAATATTATACTCGATTTTCTTTTGCTAAAGTTGATGACCAACCTGATGCCTTTGCGGCTGTGATTCATTTGATGAGTGAGAAACGAGCCAGGGAAACCGCCTTTTCCAATAGTCCTCTGATGGCCAGTCATGTTCTGGCTTGGGGTTCCCTTTATCATCCTACAACAAAACACAAAATAACACTAGCACAATTCAACTTTTAAAGCAACGTTTAAAAGATCGAAAGTGTAGTCTAGATGTTAAAACCTTTCTGTAAGTGATAAGCAATTAAAGGGTAAAAATAAGCCCAGGGGTTAACTACTATGTAAAGGGGGCGTGAAGGCTCATCGGAGAACTAGAATTTTACCCTTAACCCATTAAGCCCCAATACAAAAATACAAATTCTCCACACTAGTGTCCATACATTGCCTTATAGAATTAGTTGAGAGAACTTGATAAAAGATCAAAATACTTCTCCTTTGTTCATCAGTTCATTACTTCTATTGTTAAGAGAAAATTCATGTTGATCACTCTTAGGACTTAGAGACCAATCTGAGTAAAGCTCAAGCCGATTCCACCCCGAAAAGAGGTCATTTCTAAAACACATAGTCAAAGTACTACTATAGAAATTTCTGCTTGCGATAAAGGCGTTTTTCTTCTCTAATTTAGTTATATTTAGGACTAAACAAGGGATTTTGCTCATTTTGCAATCCGTTCCGAGGCCTTATTTAGTTCAAAGTCGTAATATCCACATGCCCTAAACAGTACTTTCGTCCTGAATGGTCTTGCGAGTACTGCTGCGCTAAAAAACTTTCTTGTGAGTGTCTCAAAATTAAGGCTGCTTTTCACTAGCGACAGAGTCGGAGTCGAAAAACATCTTTCGATTCCGCTTAAGTTCCGCTTATGATCTAGTGAAAACCAGATTGTCAGAGTCGGAAGCAGAAGCGGAAGAACCAAACAAATCACAAAGCGTGAGAACGTGCATCGGGATTGGTTTATCCTTCTGCTTCTGCTTCCAATTCTGACAACCTGGTTTTCACTAGATCATAAGCGGAACGTAAGTGGAGTCGGAAGAAATGGAAACGCTTTAATTCTTCTCACTCCGATTCCGGCGCGCTTATCACGCCGCTTGTAACCTGATATCAGGCCCAATTTTAGCGGTTCTCATGCATTCTCTCCAACGGCTAAGGCTAAAAAAATCGCCTTGCCCGCACGAATGTAATTTTCAAAGCGAAACGAAATCAGAACCTGATCTCAGGTTACTCCGCTTACGACTCCGATTTTTTATTTTCACAAGGTCATAAGCGATCTTACGACTCCAACTCCGACTCCGTCGCTTGTGTAAACCAGCCTTTAGGTTGCTGCGCAAGAAGTTCCTGATTTTTCCTTGTCAACCCCAAATTTCCGAATTTTTGTGCCGTTTAATAGTGATTAGAAATTACCTACATACAGAAGAAGCAAGGGCCTCACGAACTAAAGTTCTGTTGAAAAAAGGAGTTAAAAATACGAAAAAGAGGGGAAAACGACAAAACCAACAAAAAATGCATCTGACTTCTTGGACGCACCTCTAAAGGTGCTCGCAGCTTAAAGAACACATTCTACTTTTCATCCCCTAAAATTTGCATGCAAGACTTTCAAAACAGCAAAATCAAATAATATACTCTTAAAATGTGCGAATTACTGAAACCTTGGAGCCCTTTCTTCTATTAACTCTTGGTCTGATAAAATTCTCACAGATCAGTTTTTCCTTAGTGGGGGGGTTGGGAGGGGAGGCGCAGAAAAACCTGCGTCTCGTCTGAAGAAACGCTTGGTGCGCTGCCAAATGAAAGGCGGGAAAATTCTACCACGTGGGTAGTTATATAACCAATCAGCTGTCACCACGTCACAAGCCTTCTACACGCCACTTTGAATGACAGTTTGTTGATTTTGTAGTTTGTTTTTCACTTCACTTGAGTTTGCTCATCAAAGAAAACTTTCAACGCAAAAATACTCAAGATGGACACAAAAAGAATGAGAAAACACCGTAAAATGCCAGTTAAGAGAAAAATTCGTCTTGTGTACTCAGGAATTTGTCAAAGGATTTGTGCAAGCTAAAGGAAACTACATTTATGAACTTCAACTCATTCATACAAGGCACGAAGTGACGCAGGATTTGTTGTGTTCGTCGTAAAACTGGAAAACAAGTAACCGACAAAAATAGGCAGCTAGTACCATAGAGGAGTGCTTTTACCTATGATTAAATGTATGGTGTTAAATTTCAACCAAAGTGTCTCCGAGGAATTATATTTTTTGTGGAACGCTATCTCAAAAACCTACGCTACAGTGAGGTTATTTACGGGAGGACAAGCATTTACCGAAACGCAAGGGACATTCAAACAAAAGGACAGCTCTAAAAAGACTTCTTCGTTTTCTGGACTCTCAAAGAAACTTTACTTGAGTTTTGCTGATTTTACCAAAACCTTAGCGATAAAAGTGAAACTGTAAGTGGTTAACTTTTTTCTCTTGATTTTTGCAAATTTTGTTTGTTTGAATTGAACATGAACAGAACATATTTTGACTTTATGCTTGTTATTCATCATTTTATAAAAAGTAATGAATTAAAATTGATTGAGATATTAATACTATGGAATTTTTGTGTTAATACATATATCACAAGTTTGTTAAGTGAGCTCATATCGAGTTGAACCAGACTCGAAGAGAAATTTCATATCTGCTCGCTGATCCATTATTTTGCACAGTGAAAACACCTTCACATTAATTTACTTGTTCTCGGTTAAAACATTTTTTTGGATTTAGTTTAATTAATTGAAAGGAATGAATTTGAAATGATACTTTGAATCTGCTAAAGTTTGTGATTTGTTTTCAAAAGTAAATCTCGTGTTTTGTCCAGCATAAAAATGACAAAGAAAGGAAAATGGCGAAAGGCAAGAGCTGAGTAGAAATAAACTGTAAACAAAGAATAAAGAAACAAATTGCGATAAAATTGGAAAACTTACGTGGTAGGATGACTCCAGATAACTGTTGTTGCCGCGAAGATTGATGGCTGATGACAGATCCATCACCTGCTGTGGAGTCATCTTCACTAAACCAAGCCTCAGTGTCTCCAGGTGAGGAGCGCAGCTCAGATGTTTAATCAAGCTGTCTACTCCTGCACCCAGAAGAGGATTCAATGGCATGCTGAACTCCACCAAGTTTGGTGCTTTTTTAAATAAATTGTTGATGAATAACTCCACAGCAGGTGATGATGTTACATTGATACCACAGAGTGTTAATTGCTTCAGTTTGTGTGTTACTTGGATGCTCCTCATCAGAGACTCTGTTACCTCAGCATCGTACACTTCACCGTGTTCACCCGCAACCCATATCTTGCGTGGAGCGGTGATAAACGCCATCATCTCACTCATCAGTTCCACTTCTGACCTGTTCACATCCCAAGCGCTAATCCACCGAATCCTGGAGAGACCATGACGCTTTGAACAACAGCTGCTGCTGCTCTCTTCACTTGACTCATCACCATTCATGTTTGTCTTCTTTGTTGTCTCTTGTTTACTAATAAGCGCCTTTATTATATCACAAGGAAAAGGAATGCCTCTACGTTCATCTTTAACAATTTTAGCTAAATAGAGGTGAGTGTTGTTTTCTTCTTTCTTTAAAAAAAATTCATCAATCCTACGCCATGTTGAGTTGCTTAAAAATTCTGATGCTTTCTTTTCTCCTGCAGAGCTAACAATAACTGCGTTTAATTGTTGTACTAAAATTATTAAATTACTATAGTCCTGCTCTGTATAATCTTTATAAATGCTTTCATTAAAAAAAACGTAGTTGGGTGTTTCGGTGGTTTGAACTAATTTTTCCTCTACGATAACATTTAGTTCCTCTTCATCAATTACAAGAACTCCTCCTAAAGAGGAAAGAAATATAGGAAAGAGGTTTTTTCTTGTCTTATCTGAGCAGTAGAAAAATAATTGATTACAAAGATTAATAAAATCTGTTTGTTCTTTTGACAAGTTCTCCTGTGACGGTGTTTCGTTGTCAAATTTGAACTCTTTCAGTCCGCTCTTCTTTCCAAGGTGAATCACAATCTCGCGCGCGGCTTCTTCTGACAACTGAACAGCAAATTTTAAAACCTCAAACATCTCTCGGATCTTTTTAACTGAGTCCAACTTTAAGAGGGAATTTGTACTTTCAGCCTTTTTAGATGTCAGCTCTTCTTTCAGGAAATTCCCAGCCAGGTATTCTTGTACGGATTTGTGAATAAAGTACACGCCTTTTTCACGATTCAAACTCGCCATATTTAAAACCTGAAAAAGGCCGACTTCAATCAGCCTCTCGATCAAACTGTAGCCAGCAGGTAACTGACTAACAGGGAAATAAAGCTGGCCTTGCAAAAGGGCTTCAAAGGCCAAGCGTCCTAATGCGTATAATTCATCTGAGTAATCTTTGGCAGAAACCGATTCTTCAGCAGACTTTTTTTCACACATGTGATCAAACATGGTTGTCATGAACTGGGCGAAGATGTCTGCGCGTTCTTTTGGTAGTTCTTCACGTGTTGTTTTTGTCCAGAGCAAGCACAACATTAAGAGCAGTAGGGGAATTTGTGCTAGTTCACTTAGGTTGTGCTGCCATAAGTACATAAAAAAATCTGCAATATCTTCATCATCTTTCAAAAATCTGCGAGCGAACTCTTCTTGACGTTGACGATTAAAGCCGTCAATTTTGAATTGAGCATCACTAAAATTTCTCAACGTCTCAGCTTTCATTTCCCTTGAAGTAATTACAACACAACAATCTCTTAATTGGCTTTTTTTCCAGATTTTGAAGACAGGCGACTCGTTTTTTGAACTGTAAACATACTCATCGTAGCCGTCCAAGATAAGCAAGACTTTTTCTTGATGGCGACGAACGTAATCATACAGGTTGTCTACGGAAATTGCACCATCACCATCCAGCACTTCAGAAACCCTCAGAATAGACGGAACATCTTGGAGATTACCTACGTCACGTAATCTCACCAGAAGGACAAGTTCAAATGCTCCTAATGTTTCTGAATACCTCTGCTTGGACCAGTCAAAAGTTGCTTTCTTGGTGAAAACAGTCTTGCCGATACCTAGGTGACAATAACAACAAATTGTCAATACGTCTTCAACAGATTTGTCAGTTTACTTTTATCATTTGTTATGTCATGTGAAGTGGAATCTAAAATATTAACATGTGAATATATAATTGTCATAAAACTTTAGGAGAGTTTATTTATTTTATTTTATTTTTAACGGAATTATGTTTAAACTTTTTAAACCAATGCAGAGAGAGCAAGTAATGGGTGGCAGGGTGGCATTTTGCCTCCATTAAGTTATACCAAAAATAAGTTTCCCTGCCTCAAAGGAGGCATTTTGGAATTCTTAGATACATTTACATACAGTTACATTTGTCGATAATGGTATCTCTTTTACATATTCAAAATTGTTCTCATAAAGACAATGGAATTGAATCCTTCATAGTACAAGTCACAGACTATTTTTAAAAATCATGTAGTAGATTAGTGCCAGCACTTAGGAAAGTGTCCCCAATTAGCTAACTGTTAAGCTTAATACATTGACACTAAAATAAAGTTATTAATATTATTATTATTAGGGCCAGGTTGTTCAAACCTGGGTTAAGATCAACCCAGGGCCGGTTAGTGCGAAATTTGAATTCAGAAATGAAAGCTTGAAAAGCAAATTCAGTCTAAATCTTTTTATCTAAAATTTGATGATTAGATATTCTAAAAAGAATAGAGAAAATTATCCAAGAAAATGCTTTTGTTAAAAAGAAAAAGAAACCCAGGTTAAAATTTAACCCCAAGTTTGTGCTACGGCTTTCAAGCAACTGGGCCAAACTGCCAGTGACCATTAGTCTATTGTGAAGGTTGTGGTACAATTTTATCCTTGGAAGATTTTTTTTTATTTTATCCTTTTAGCATACATTTAATAAACTTGAATTTCAGATTAATTGAGTCACAATATTATTACCATTATCACAACATTAACTGGAGTCTACAGTGTATGTTCTGATTGCTCTACAGTCAATTGAATACATTGTTTATTATCAGACTGATTAACAGAAAAACTTTGTTTAAACTTTTAATTTATTTACAATGGCAACAAACCAAACTTTTCATTGGGTTTGACAGTATGGTAAAAAATTACCCCACTTGGAATGTTGATAATGTCAGCAAAAAACTCAAGAAACCTGCACATCACGTATGCACCAGCTGATAAATCGCTGGATTAATAATTATTATACAAGTAGAACAATGGGTGCCTGTGTTCTTGTTTTTCGCTAGCCTGCATAGCATGGTGGTTTTGGTTGGGAATGCAAAGTAATAAAGGCAGGCGAGGGCAGAGAATACTTTTTTCTCCTGTTAATTAAATTAAGACAATTCCTACTCTGAATTCACTCACTTACCTGGCTGTCCATAAACCAAAATTCGCTTTAGCGCAGGATGAGGGCCTTTACTGCCAAAAATCTCAGTGTAGTGGTTAAGTTCCTTTTGTGTTACTCCACTGGGTGTCCTGTGATCCTTGAACCAAGACAAGTCTGTGTAGATCTCATCAATATCAACAGCAGAGTTCTGGTCCCATGGAATGATTTTGACTTTGCTACTGGTTTCGTAAAGTGATCGCAGCTGTTTCTGGCACTCCTCAAGGCATACAGCATCTGTTAACAAAGATTTTTGTCAATTCAAGAAGTTTTTTTTCAATAACTTAATGATTGCCAAAAATAAAAATTAGGTACAACAAAGAAATGATAAAAAAAAAAATCCAAAACCTCAACTGGAATAAAACCCACAACCTTCCAGATACCGGTACCACTGAGCTATGGGTGACTCATATGGTGAGCAGGTCAGAGCTAGCTGTAGATGGGTGGGTGTGTGGGTGGATAGATAGACTGAGACTATACCACAACATCATTTTCAATTTTGTGGATTTCCTTAGACAGTTCCTAAATTATTGAAATAATTCAAACACAGCTGAAACAAAGACAACTTCTTTCAAGAAGTTAAATTCATTGCTCATCTGCTCTTCCTTCAAAATAATTTGATGATGCTAAATGTTTTCCCGAAAACATGTCTCACCTTACCCTGGGTACCAGAGGTTTTTCTCGCGTGCGGCGGGAATTTTCTTCGTAGGCCGAAGCCACGAGCAGCGAACCCCACGAGAAAAAACGCGGGTCACTATAAAGACTTGACAGAAACCGAAACCGCGCTAGGAAAGTCTCTGGCACCCAGGGTAGTCTCACCTGAAAGAAGCCTAGTAAATCCCCAAGATAAGGCAAAAATGGGGCAGGGAAAGTGATAGAATTAGTAGGGAGGAGAGAAAGAAACAGGGAAAAGTTGAGGGGCGCTGTGTCAATTTTCAAACCAACACTTACATTAACTTTATTTTAGCATAAGGAACAAAAGGTAGTGTAGAACTTACAGCATTTTAGAAAATTTTGGCTGATCTTTTTGGCTAGATAGGGACCAGAAAATGGATAAAAAATGAGCTTCCAACAGCATTTTTCAGCAAAATTTCCATGAAAGAAAAATGGGTTATAAAACACCAGGCAAATTAAAATAGACTGCTCTCTTGGCAAAGACATCTCTCACAATAAGAAGAGAACCTGTGCTCTAGATGCGACAAACAACTACATCAAAAGATTAGAATTATTTCTACTGAAACCAGGGTTCAATCATTTTAATCTGGAAAAACTCCTGGATATAGTGTAATTTCACTGACAGGATAGTTACCTGGTATCTGTTTGTCTGGCTTTGTGGTTGTCTCTGGCTGATTCCTTGTTGTCAAGTCTGTAATGAAAAAAAGTATTGTAAATTTGAAAAGCCCTAAAAACAAATTTTTCTTTTGGCCTTTGTTATTTGGTATTTTAATATTAATGGTTGATTTGAGTTTGAAACAGACAAAAATGTGAACCAAGGATAATAATTATTGAACCAGTCTACATAAAAATATCTGAACAGAAAATTCATCACTAATTAATAATCAATAACTAGTACAGGGTGGGATGTGACATACCTTCGTAGTGAGGCCATTCTTTAAAAACAACGGGATTATTTAACATGTTAGACACAACAGAAGCTGCCATGATAGAAGCAAATGACTTCCAGGAATCATCAGGAGTGTTGCTATCATCAGAAAAATGTGATATCCCTTTAACAATCACCCATTCAATGTTCATATCATGGGCTGCAGCAAATAGGCCTGTAAGTGAAAAGAAAAAAAAAATCATACAATATGACAATGATCCTTATTCAATCCACTGTATACAAGAATCTCAAAGAGGTAAAAGCTCAAAATATTTCTCTGAAGTGTAGTGACTAAAATTTATAATATTTTAAGCTTAATAATTTCTGTTCCCAGTGCACAGTAATAATCATTGTAAACTATCCCCAGAATAACCTGGTCTGTTGGTCCCATCACCATGGTCAAACAGTATATGGTACTCCCGGCAGAGGGGGGTATACTGCCATATATGGGCTATATAGGTATGTGCCATTGTGAAGGGTATGGTTTTCAAGCAGTTTACTCTAGGATAGGGTATATAAATCAGAGTGTTCGGGTCTAGAATAGGGTATCATTTTTCAGGAAACTGATCAGTTGGTTAAAGATTTTATCTAGACTAGGGATTGTGATATAAGGTTTTGTTTTGGCTAGACTGCGCTAGTGACCTCAGTAGTTTCTGGAAAACAGCTACTCTAGGATAGGGGATTTGAGGAGTTTACTTTAGTATAGGGTAGCAAAATACAGCTGAACTAGCCCTGGTGTAGGTTAAGGGTTCCAGGGTCCCAGCGGCACATCACCACCCACAAATTCCTAAAGTAGCCCCCCCCCTGCGACGGTACTGTGGTACTGCCATGGTCACATACTGTTGCCGAGGGACAATTTAGAGTTCTATAGACCTCAAACTGAATGCTACATCAAATTGTTAAAATTAATATAGTTCTGTAATATGCATATAATCTTACCTTTCCTTCCCTTTCAACTGCAACCACATGAGATTGAGACATACGGCATTGTTTGGTGATGAATAATTGACTACCACATAATATGACACTGTCACGGTGTACCTGTACTTCAGTTTCTTCATGTGCACCTACTGGATCTTGTAATGGTGGCTTCCAGCCTTCTACTGCAAACAAGTTAAGGTTGCCGATATTTCTTCTTACTGGAGTTGCAAATTCTTCAGTTAAAAGTTTGGAGGATAACACTACATCCCCTAGTTTGGTGGCTTGCGGGTTTAATCCCATGCAAAAGCCTACTAAGAAAGCAGCCTTGGGTCTCAGTTCCTGCACTGCATTCTTAACAGTGACTAGAGAGCCACCTGGCACAGAACAGCCTTCATGACATCTCATCAAAGCAACTTTTAGTGTCTCCTCTCTACTTTCACCCATGGTTCCAAAGTACACACATCCCAGGGTCTGGTGATAACTTTTAACAGAATTTTTCAAGAAAGTATAACAAGCTAAAAACTCGCAGTCTTTGACTGTCAACAAAAGAATGTCAACAGGGAGCTGGACATCACTCCAAGGTTCTAAATTGTTTGGAAGATCACTCATTTTAGGCACTTCAATACTTAGAGGAGGAGGGGCATGATTTCTTGACATCTGATGATCAGGATCAGCACCTCCTTTTCTTTGAAAGTCTTGATGCTGAGCCATTGAGTCTCAGTTAAAGATTTCCCTATTAAAGTGTGTAAAATATAATAAAATTATTATATTTTATAAAGATCAGCACAGTGTAAAACTTGAACAATATAACTTAACAAAACTTAAATTGTCAAAAAAAATTTTGTCGCAGCTATTTATATTATGTAGAGTCAAACCTCTAGCTATTATAGGTGCACACCACTGTGACCAGGAAAAATGTCTATACCTATACAGGTACAAGATCGAGGTGTTCACATATATTACAAATTACAATGTAACCACTTTGAACCAAGGCCTGACGACCTAGAAAAAATTTTGAGACAAATTTTACCCACAATCACAAGTAGAGATCTAAACAATGAAATTCTGCATAATTATATTAAAAATGTTTTGACAACGTCTGGGTTGGCGAAATCAAGGCCAGCAGTAAAGAAAGTTTGAGCAATCCCAACTAAAGGTGATGGCTGTTTATTTCACAGCAAATGGCGGCACACAGCTTGATTTATACAAACATCATGGTTCCTCATTTCTTTCATTTGGAAAAATGGTTTGCAACGTATTTTGAGCTGGCTCTGAGTACAATTAAAATTAAGTGCAATTTCATTGTTTAGATCTCGACTTGTGATCAGCTAATGTCAAAATTTCTTGTTTCAAAATTTTGTCTGGGTGACGCTGCCTCAGTTTGTGTGGCTGCACTGTAAACACAGTGCTCGAAGAGGTCAAACATCCCTCTCAAATAGCTGACTGCATTAGTTTCAAATAAGAATGTTAACTCTCGATCTGAAGGTAACCCTTAGAAAAAATTCTACCCTGCAAAAACCCTGTGAGATCGAGCCCTGTAAAATCCTGTTTCCAGCCCTGTTTACGTTATTTCAGGACTGTAAACTGGCTGTAACAGGGCTGTCAGACACAGCTGCAACTTACTTGAGTTAAAACAAGTGGAGCTGTGACAGGGCTGTAAAAGTGTACATAGTTAAGTATAACAAGCCTGTTACATGGCTGTGAAAATATCCAGTTACTGTAACAGGGTTAAGACAGGGCTACCTAGTAATGCAGAAGAACTAGGACAGGGATGCAGAATGGCTGTGTTAGGTACATTTGACAGTAACCGGGTTCCTGAAGAACTGTGAGATGTCTATTTCTGTTCACACAATGGATAATAATCAAAGGGCAGTAACAATGTAGCCAAGTACGGTAAACTCCATAAATCATGAAAGATGGCAATATTTTTCAAAGTCTAAAAGTGTTAAAAGGAGCGAGGGTCGGCTAGATCATTAATAACAAATAAAACGAAAAAGAACTTGGTGAAAATGGTATCGCTCAATCATCAAACACGATTATTGTACGCCTTTTAATATGCTGTTTTTGGTTTTGTTTGGATTTGCTTCGTTTTTTCTTTTTTTTTTTTCATTGAAACTTACTTTAATTAATTACCGATTTTGTGGCTACCTTTGTATTTTTAGGTTGGTTTGTTTATAAGACTTTTATCTCATGTTAAAAACGAAGACCTTCTTATGATCAGCTTACCATTTTTACAGACACCTATTTCATCAGCTTCTGTTCTTCCTGTTCTTTTAAATGAAAAAAAAACCACTGTAACTTAATTAATTTTTTACAGCAATGTACTAAAAATGAAAGACTTTCAGATCACTTCAATTTGTTTTCCTGCGTGAGAGACCTCTGCAAGCATGGAATTAAATTCTTTCCTTAGAGATCGAGGGGACTGCAATATTTTCATTCCGTGACAGACACGCCATTGGTAATTCCCTGGAGAAATCCAAGACTTTAATCTTATTGGTCAGCACTTTTACCGGAAGATCGCATTACACATCTCCATTCCTGAAACGACTCACGATCATTTGAATGAAAGGCGAAAATATTCAAATGCTTTCTGCATCCAGTTTAGATTTAGAAAGGCTGTAGAGCATTTTTTGCTGCTTTTGAAGCAGAGAGTGAAAAAGTATTAGCAAAAAAATAACTGTGCTTTGACCAGCTCTCAACGAATGGGAAACTGATCGATCTGGTGGACAGAAAACATTCCACGGCACTTGCAAGATGCAAGTATTGTTTGCCCTGCCTAGTAATTCGTACACCATTAAACAATTCAGCAACAACTGAAACACAAATGGATTGGCTCTTTTCATGAGGAAATGTAACACTCATGAAGGAAAGACAATCGAGGTGAGCGATTTCAAATTAAGCTTGTTACAACGAACAAAACAACTATAAACTGTCAACCTCGGAACCGTTGTTACAATGGAACAATTCCGTGTTTCATCTCTTATAATTGCGGACAAAAATCGTCCTTTTTTTTTTGTTTTTGGGACCGTTATTGTAAAGTCGGCATTTTGACGTGCTAGTTGTACATTAAATCGAGCAAAGCAAGCAAGTGTTTACAAGCCAGATCAGACTGTTGCATGCAGTTTAAATTTTGTTCTGTCTATATTTTTACACACTGTAAAGTCGACATGTGAAAAATAAAGTAACGTTAAGTTCTTAATTGACTGTATTTTCTGTTTTCCTTTATCGTAAGTGTCCTTTCAATGTATGTTTGTTGAAATGCATTGCTTTTTGTTACTTAAGTGACTAAACGGACTAAACCAGCCGTTGGTGGTTCAACTTTGAAGCTTTTTGGGGTTAAATTGTTCCTTTGCTTCAGGAATTTTCATGAGTTCAAATATGCCTAAAAAGATTAAGTTTCATCTTTAATAGATGTGAAGTTATAAAAATTATGTTCGATAGTACTATAATTCTTATGTATAGAAGTTAAACGGTTGCTGTCTAAAGTGTGTATTGTGTGAGAGGGAGTATCACAACGTTGGCACCTGGTAAAAAAAAAACCTTGTTAACTGCCAATTAACAAGTTGTAACAGGGGTTGTGATGCATGAAACCTGTACCAAGGCTGTTAAAGGAATGCCACAGTGTAAAAACAGCCTTGCTAACTGTGCCAATTCACGAGCTGTGGCAGGGATGTCCATCACAGGGTGGAAAGAGGGTTGTAACATGGCTGTTACAGGGTGTCTACCAAGAAATTTTGAGTTAAACGTGACAGGGCTGTTCCAAGGCTGCTACAACAGTGTAGAAACAGCCATGCTAACTGTGCCAAATGACGAGCTGTAACAGGGTTGTTACAGGTTAGTTTTTCAACCCTGTTCCAGTGATGCTACAGAGCTGTTACAGGGTAGAAATTTTGTTAAGGGAAGTTAACAAGTTTGTCTACTGTAATCTTGTTTTTCTATAATGATGGGAGTTAGGTTTTTTTACTGCAATCAACTTATATAAAACTCAGCTGAATTACCTTCTTCTTTGATAGCTTCAAACCGTACAACTTACGGTATGTATTAATTATTTGACTGACATAAATCCTGAAATAAAAAATTGTAAAGATGACATCAAATTATGAGATAATACCCTTATTTTCAAGCCAAAATTATCAATTGAAACTTTAATTTTATTAAGCTTATGGCTCAGCCAATTCCAAGTTGCCCATTTCCCCCAATTCCCCCCCCCCCCTTAGGAGGGGGGGGGGCGGCATTTTGTTGGGCATTTGTCATCTTGTAGGTCTCAGTGGGGGGATTTGTCAGAAAACCTCCCCCCGGGGTGGAGCATTTGTCAATTCTTCTAGAAGCAGTTAACGCCATTCCTTTTTCAATACTTCATTAAAAAATATACCAGCTAATGCCTAATTTCATACTGTGCAGGGACCTGGCACTACCGGATTTTCCCAGTCTTTTTAAATTCGGATTTGATGTTACGAAAAGGAAATCAAAGGATTACTACAACCTACTCATCAGAGAAAAAGCTAAACCTTAATATTATTCAAAAAATTACAGAGTAACTTTAATTTTAACAGCGACAATCTGAAGCAAATATTTAAGCTGCCACACTCTATCGCTGTCGAATCGTATGTTAAAGCCTTCCAGTACAAAGTAATTAACTCAATTCTTTACACAAATACAAAGTTGTATAAAATAGGTTATAGGACAAATGATTTATGTACTTTCTGTGACAATCAACCTGAATCATTAACGCATTTGTTCTATCACTGCTCACGCTCTAAACAGTTTTGGATTGAATTGAACTATATTGGTGCCTTATTTCGAATCAACGAATTCGTCTCTGCTTGGAAAATGTGCTCTTTGGAATTTTGACGGAAAATGCTTGCCCTTTACTTCAATTGCTGAACTATTTTATAATTATTGGAAAACTCTATTTGTGGGACTGCAGGAGCAAACAAATCCTTCCAAACATTTGTGGATTTAAAGCCAAGATCATTGCTAAATATGAAACAGAAGAAAAAATCAGCAACAAAGAATTCTTTAAAAGAAAGTGGATACTGACGCCTTATTTAAGTTAACTGTATTACCTCCGTATTATTTCATTGCCCTGTTGTACTTTTTTTACAATTTCTTTTAGCCCTGTAACACCTCCTGTAATAATTTGACAATTTTTTTTGTGTGTGTGTGTGTGTGTGTGTGTTTTGTAAATGTAATTATTTAATGTGATTATCAATAAACATTAAAAAAAATAAAAATAAAATAAAATAAAATAAAATAAATTCCGGATTCAAAATGACTTCCAAAATAATAATAAGGCAGTAAAGCAAAGGTCATTGCATGCAGCTGAAACAGTATTAAAGGCCAGATTACTCCAGGAACTTACTATTCTACAGCAATAAAGAACAGTCGCTTTACTAGCTAGTATAAAGAACTTTGATTAAAAACTTCAAAAAAAGAAAGATCTCAGTTGAGAGACTGCTCCAGTTGGAAGTCACGAAAGGATTCCTGAATCGTTCGACAAAAAGTTGAACATAATAAGAACCGTCGATTTTAGCTTTACCACAGCGCTGCATCCGAAGAAATAGTTGGGAATGACAAGGAAGTGCGTGTACCTGTTATTACAAACCGTAAAATAAAGACTACCAAAAAGCAAAATACGCCAAAGAGAATAGGGCAACATCGTAAAGTCGTAAGGCTAACTATATTTTTGTCGCTGTGTATGGCCTCAGATA